GTCACCTATGTCGCGTGCGTCGCGTGAACGTCGCGTTTATTGCGCAAGTGTCGCGTTGCATGCATATTACTGTAGACTCGACCTATGTTGCAATATATGCCATTGTGAGGCTACTCAGGATCGAGTCTCTACATCGAGGACGTGGATGGCTTTGCAGATTTCTGGTTATTGGAGTTGGAGTTTCCAGATTTGTTATTTCCGGATCCGGACGCATTGGCGTTGGTCCGGTCAGAAGCGGATTGCTTAGGGGTAGTGGATGAAGCGGGTTTAGTCTCTCGGGAGATCTCTCCCTTCTGTTCCCAGTATCGGGCGTCGATAGTCTGAGCGAGGGTTTTGTATTTGGAAAGAGTAGAGGGTTTACCCATGCGACTGATTTCATCCTTGATATGGGCCGGAAGTCCGTTATAGAACTGGCGTCGTAAGGCTCCGTCGCCCCAGCCACGGACCTGTGAAGCAAGACGCTGGAATTCCACAATGTACTTGTTGATGCACTGTCCGTCATGCATGTGGAGCTGTTCGAGCTGCATTTCTGCATCGCCGGATGGGTCGTGAGGTCCAAAATTGGTTTGAAGTTCAAGCATGAACGCGGAATAGTCGCTCATCCAATCCGGACGATCGTCCAAATCATCGGACAGGATATCCGGTTCAAACCATTCAAGAGCCATACCCTTAAGGTAGGATTGGGCGAAGTTGACTTTAGCCCTTCCGGTACGGAAGGCCTTAGGCTTGCTCTGGAAGTTAAGCTCACACTGGACGAAGAACGCACGGAGCTTCCGTGGTTCGGATCCGTCAAAGGTATCTGGTTCGCGGACCTTGACTTTGGAATCTTCAGATGTGGGTGCGTGACGATTATTGCGAGCAAGGTTATCGATGGCTTCTGATAGTCAAAGCATAATGCGGTCCTGTGGGTTTAGGCCATCATTTTTCATCGTCATCATCGTCCGGATCATCATCTGGATCACCACCGTTGTCATCGGGTGGATTACCAGGGAAATCATCATCACCATCATCAGGATCATCATCATCGTCCAGAGGTCCTGCGGCAGGAGTGCGCGTAGGGGTTTCCAGGTGTTGACGATTAAGGAGTTCGGATATGGTTTGAGCGGGTCCGCGACTAACGTGTCGCTGAGAGAAACTGGTGAAGGTGTTGACTATGGGTGTCCGATTACGACGGAGGGAGGTAAGTCCAACTGCGTGCAGAGTTGTTTGTGTCTTGGTTGGAGGCATGATAGGTGTAAGTAACTCGGAAAGGTATGAGTTCGAATATACTATTAAGACCGTACTCAAGTGGTATCAGATCTGAAGGGCTTCGGCCTCAGCTCGTGTGCTGTGCCCCTTTCCCGAGTCTTGCCCCTTATTTCAGAGTACTAAAGTATCACGTATATTGAGACGGATAAGTCTCGTAACAGATCTGTTATGGCTTCCAGATATCGAACATATATAGTAATGGCTAATCCAGATCGGATCCGAACTAGAAACTAACGGGCTAGGACTGTCCGAAGACAGAGATGGATATATAGACTATAGGAATCAATCCTAAGTCTCGGAGTAGACAAGAGTATTGTACTCAAGTCCGGACGGATAACGGAGGGACTTAGAGTCCAGACAGAATGAGTGCAATCTAAGATGATATTCGAACTGATCTACTACAGCGCATGTACAAGGGTTTATATACTACGGATAACTAACGGAATGATCAATAAGCAAAGGTGCGAGGCTATGTACGAAGTATAAGCAAAGTATGTGTACAGCATATTGGTAAGTCGGTGTCATATACCATATTCCCGGGTACAGATCCGAAGATCCGGATCTCAGATCCGATCCAGATCCGATGGACATATCCGTCGTCCAGGTCCACAGATCTGATCTAATCCTTGTTTCATGCCCTGTTCATATAACTCTAACTATCATTCATCTCCTTTCGGCATTCCTGTACACCGGTATACCGGTTATCCTTTACTTCCGTTATGCTTACTGATCCGCTACACTTACTGATCCGCTTTAGCTTAGACTTCATTCCCGGTTATGATACGTTATCCATCCAACTTACCGATATGCTGTACACATACTTTGCTTATACTTCATACATAGCCTCGCACCTTTGCTTATTGATCATTCCGTTAGTTATCCGTAGTATATAAACCCTTGTACATGTGCTGTAGTAGATCAGTTCGAATATCATCTTAGATTGCACTCATTCTGTCTGGACTCTAAGTCCCTCCGTTATCCGTCCGGACTTGAGTACAATACTCTTGTCTACTCCGAGACTTAGGATTGATTCCTATAGTCTATATATCCATCTCTGTCTTCGGACAGTCCTAGCCCATTAGTTTCTAGTTCAGATCCGATCCGGATTAGCCATTACTATATACGTTCGATATCCGGAAGCCATAACAGATCCGTTACGAGACTTATCCGTCTCAATATACGTGATACTTTAGTACTCTGAAATAAGGGGCAAGACTTGGGAAAGGGGCACAGCGCACGAGCTGAGGCCGAAGCCCTTCGGATCCAATACCACTTGAGTACGGTCTTAACAGTCGGACGGATAACATATCATAACCGGGAATGAAGTATAAGCTAAAACGGATCAGTAAGTGTAGCAGGATCAGTAAGCATAACGGAAGTAAAGGATAACCGGTATACCGGTGTACAGGAATGCCGAAAGGAGATGAACAATAGCTTAGAGTTATATGAACAGGACATGAAACAAAGATTAGATCAGGATCTGTGGACCTGGACGACGGATATGTCTATTGGATCTGGATCAGATCTGAGATTCGGATCTTTGGATCTGTACCCGGGGATATGGTATATGACAATATCTCACTTGTCGTTTGGTCATGAACTGGGTGGGGGGAGTATATAATGAGGACCATGGTGCATGGAAAATATGACATCCTACATTATATGATCAGGTTTGCATAGATTCACACAATGTTATAAACTAACTTTGCTTTCAAGAAATGGGCCTCATCCTTGTCAATCAAGTTCAACATGATCACAAACTTGTCAAACAAAACATTGGAAAGCACATTGGTTCTACTTGTACTTGCTAAAGAGCATCATGATAGTATTGTAACATTTGCCTGGCCAATTATCACATGATGAGAAATTCAGTCTAGTTCAACAATAAATCATGTTTACCTCTTGAGACAATGACATTATTCAAACCATCAAACATGCTTTCAGTTGTGAGATGGTCGGCTTCCTTGGGTTTGCCTGAAGCCTGTTACTATTTAAGTTGTTAACAATGAGCTGGTCACCTACTTGATGGTGTGATACTGTCTGCCTGACTCTGGTTACTAAGCACTGGGTTCAAGTTCTAAGGAGGCTGTGCTTCTGGTTTATATGTATTGGAATTAGATTTCAACCAAGCAGCTGTTGGCTTGCATGGGTGTAATAGTATGATGAACTGCCAGTGAAAGATCTGAAAATTGCTGCCATCATATAGTGATTCACAGGTCTTGGAGGAAATGGCATGAGGACATGCACTGCTGGGGTACCTGAAACTCCCATTGCCTTTTGTAATAATGGAGTGGTCCAGTAAGAATAAAGGTGTCCAAAAAATAGTCTATATCAAGTTGATCAACTAAGTCACATGAATGGCATCTCAAGCCCCTATCCAGATCTCTCATGAAGGGCATAGAATAATTGCTTGTTCCAGAACTTGTTTAAGAAAAATGTGGTGGAGTGATTCAGTACTAGTCTGTGCAGTCAATCGTGACTCTGCTACATTACCAAACTGAGGGATAAGATGGACAGGTGCCTGTATTTGAGTGACTCTAATCACATTACCAATATGATCACCATTTGCTTGATAGGCTTATCATAGGACATGCATACCAGTTGATTTATCTAATCCAACCACATCTAAATATATAACATAGGCATAGTACATGTCTGCATATAAAAGTTGTATGATTGGATGAAAAATCAAACAGAGGAGAGTGATACAATGCCCTACATCTATCATATCATCAAAATCATGTATGGAGCTGGAATGGCTCATCCTTCAAGACCACTCTTTGGTCATTTTAATATTCTGTCTGAATTAATAATGACTGAATCATACCAACCATAGGGCCAGTTCTTTGAGGGTGGTTCTGCCAGTAGTGCCTGCAAGGGCTTGAGTTGGTTTGCATCATGGAAGTTTTTCAATTGGATCTGCATCTTGGATCTGCATCTTACACCAGATTTGAATATGTTCAAAAGGAAGGGGACAACCAGGGTGAGCTCAGCACCTATCACCAATGGGGAGGTCATCATGTGTCTCAATACAGTCCAGATAATAAGATATTACAGGGCAAAGGTCGGGAAGCAGGAAGTAGTCAGCAGCTTTATTAACAGTCATATTTATAAGGGTGGGATTAGCTAAGATTGTAAGCTGCTACAGAAGTTGAGAATGTGGGATAGGAATGAGGTGCATCTGGATGATCACCATTGATGAGTTAATGGGTACGTGAAAAATAGTCCTTGATGGAATGTCAGACTGTCTTGCTATTGATGTCTTCATCATCACTTTCATCACCCATATCAATGACATGATCTTCCTGTTCACAGATGTGAAGTGTGAAGCAGATCTACTATATCACGATGGTCAAGGTGGTGACACACTTGCGCATCATAGTCATGGTTATTTCCAGCTCTTGCAGGCACCTTAATGATAGTGATATGTGCATGTTTGGTTAGATCTGCAGACTACTGCATGAGTGCACCATGCAACCGGATACTCAACACCACCCCTTGCAGCAACTCTAGCTTGGGAATTGCCCACAATTTGAACCCACCATCCTTTCCTCTCTGGGCATCTGCATCAATGACACCCTGTTGATGTTCGTAGAAGAGTCAAAGACAGTAATCTAACTCCATCAGTGTTTTGTCAGAAAATTGCACAGCTTGAGCAGGAATTCAAGTAGGGCCTGGATGGCAGTTGTGAATTGGGTAGGAGCAGCACCAGCAATAATGCCAATAATATAGCATTGGATGTTGTGATGGTCTCATCCTGAAGTCTGCTTCAAATTAGAGATTCCTTCATTGAAAGAACAATACCCGGTGCACATCTGAAGCAATGAAAAACGAAAGTCGATCTCTTTGGCACTGACTATGTCGATACACCAGACACAGTCATGGTCAAAGAACATCTTGTGAAAGTGATGGAGTGACTCTGGTGTCAGGAAAGAGGAAGGATCTGCAGTGACCCTAATTCATCCAGAATGACTGTTAGATACTGTTGAGGTGATATTGCTTGCATTTCTTGAAAAATGCCATGAGTTCAGATGGGGAGACAGATGCAGTAACTTTGCGAATATTAGATATTAGTGAGTGTAGATGAGCCTTTATGAAGAGGGTGATGGTGTCCTCTTACTTAAGGGTCTTATGTACAACGTGTATATAGTGAACAGTATAACTATATAGGATAAGACTTCTTATCAGTCCTTAAGTACATGGTCTACAACTTTTCTAGTTTTTGTGGTAGATAATGTGTGAGTTCTTGGGAGGGTTTACCTAAAAATGTCCCCTTCTTGTTTTCTCTCTGTAGGTTTACTTTGAGGCCTTTGTCGATTGAATAGGTTTGTTTCACCCTAAGAAAGTTTGCCTCAGTGTGAAGTAGTTCTCTTAGCTTGTGTCTCCCTTCCTATAAAAGAGAGAGGTTATTTGTTTGTGTGAAGTTTAGTTTGAGTTTAGTAGATTGGTTTGTTATATAGTCAACCCCTGTAAGGTAGTATATAACTTGGATAGATATTTCTTAGTGTTACTTCAAGGCACTGGTTTTGCCTGCACTTTATTTCTTAGATAATCTCACTTGATTTGAGAACAGGGTTTAAAGTGGGAAGATATCTTTTTGGAGGCCATCTGTTACGAACTGAGATAGTTCTGACATATAGCAACATGATAAGCGATGTCGGCTAAGGTCAGTTCAAAGACTCCTACGTATGTAGAAGTTCGTAAGACAAATCAAGGAGAGTGTCCTTGACTTGAATCAAGTTCAGACGACTTAAGATTGGAGTCTTAAGTGAAGGAAGTTCCAGGTAAAACTCAGTAAGATTAAAGTAAAGAACTACAGTGTACAGAACGAGTTTAAATAGTAACTGGTAACTGCTTTAGGGCAGGCGTGAGAACAAGAATGAGCCAAAGATAAGAGATGAGTCACAGATAGCAAGAATAGGTCACCTAGCGACAGCATGATAGTGATCGTGATTTAATACAGATAAGATGGAACAGAGATAAGTCTAGTGGCAGCATCATGCAGCACATGATGTAATACAAGTAAGGTGAAGAAAATGAATAGGGGCATACTTGACTGTAACACCATCTTACTAAACATGATCCAGCACATGGATTAGTAAGAACATTGTTACAAATCAGTCCTTTTGGTGTGTTGAGTCAGCTTACTTACTAACTAGCTTATTAATACAATGTAATCTTACAAAGAAAGATGAATAAAAGACATGAGTCATCCCATGGATTGGTAAGAACATGCTTACAAACCAATCTTTTGAGTGAGCTGAATCAGCCTTCTTACTAAGTGGATTATAAATACACTTGCAAGTCTTACAAATCCTGACAAATCCTGACAAAAACATGATGAGTCAAGTTGAATCCTTACAAACCAGACTATTAACCAGTCACATGTCAAGCTTACAAACATGCTTTGTGGCTGGAGAGGAAGTGTGATGGTTAAATATGCCTAGAAAAATGGAAAGAGATAGAATTCCATGAAACAAAATAGAAACACATGGAAAAAATAGAAGTGAAGTTTGAAAGTGAAAATACTAGCTAAGAAATGAAGGAAAAATGATAGGGAACTTGGTGATAGGATACATTCTGGTATATTATACCTTCCTTATTACTCCTGCTGTGTATATGTCATGGTATGAGTCACATACCATGCATGACATCGGTCTAGGTCCCCAAAGTTGGCACATGTAGCCATAGTGACAGGCAATGCATTCGTGGTAGTGCAAGCAATGACAAGCTCCTCTGGAGTGTCGGTTACATAAGCAACAATGGGCATGAAACAGTATCTGCTGAACCCTGCTGGATCACTCATCATGATGCCCAGGCATGCCAGGCATGCAGCTTGCTCCAACAGCTCAATCACAACATCAATGCATTAATGAAGCAACCAGTGTGACAAACATACCAGCGCTAGGCGTGTATGAGTGTCATAGGCATATTTTGCCTTGCCTAGAGGAAAAGAGTAAAGTGCTAGTTACCAGCGCTATCAAACTCCCAAGCTATCCGCTTTGGAATCATTTTTCTCCCATAGCGCGCTGCCCGGTCCAACGCCCAGGTACTCTGTCCTCCCATGTCCCGCCTATGTCCACCTACCTCCGCTGGTGCGTTATTAGTCCTTAATTGTCGCTACTGATCAGTCGCAGGTCTTATTACATGTATCCTCGTGTTCCGCAGCGCTACATGTCTTATTACCTGTACACGCATCGTGCTCTCGCCTGTATCACTACTATTCTCACCTGCGCATCCCGAACACTTATGCAGTATGATAAAATGGCTCGTCGTACATACAGTATATCACTTCCCTTCCCCGGACCTTCGCTGGTGTCAGAGTCACTTTAGTCGCTATATCCTAGTCTTGGTGCAATCGATTCCGCTCTTGCCAATCTCTTTGATCGTGTGTCGCTTGACTTGCTTTAAGTGCGTGTCGCTAAAGTTCCCTCTTAAGTTTGACTGTCGCAACGTCGGGATCGCTATCAGTAGTCAAGCTATAATCTAGTCGCTATCAGGCATTTCACTTGCACTGTCTTATCTTACTCCTTGTTTTCGCTCCCTTTGATTTCTTCTCGCTGTCACTAGTCAGACGTCGCATAGCGCTATCGCATAAAACAACCTGCATAGCGCATCTCACTTATATGCACATTTCTCTGTCGGAACTCACTTGTTGCTGATCGCTATAGCACTACTCATCAGTTTTTTGTCTTAGGTCGCTATAGGTTATTAGTCCTTCATGCTATCGCTACCCTTGCATATTAGAAGGGAGTTGCTTCAATAGCAGTCCTCTTGGGTCGACTACTACACTTGCGCTTATTTGGATAAGTAGCGCTAGTTTCTAACAAGCCTAGTCGCTATTTCTCTTTCACACCGGTCTGCCAGAACACCATGACCCTATGAATAAATTTTGCAACTGGAAGTAGAGCAAGAGGGATATGTGCCTGGAGGGATCCTTTAGCACATACATTGGGGAGTCTTCATTGTCAGAAATTCCATAGGGACTGTTTGATACTTCCATTGAGGTGGGGATGGTAGCATTTAAGTGCATCCTGAGAGCTCTCTTGAAGAGCAAAATGAAAGTGGTAGTTTTCTGGTTTAATTTCACCTCAGTTCAGAAATTCTGATGCAACACAAATGGACTCACAAATTCAAGCTTGAGAAACTCATCAATGTCTGCCATGCTGAGGTCCAACCAAAGAAGGAATGCCACCATCTCCCAGTCAGGTTTGCTAGCAAATGGAAAATATAGATTGCTCACCCTCTCCTCAGCATACTCGTCAGACTCAAATTGCTTCATGAACATGGTTCCTCTACCCCAGGTCTTTGCTGCACCAAAATAAAACACCACTTCCTCCCCATCATCAGCCTCTACAACAGTATTCTCATGCTCTGGCCCAGGATGATCTTCCATCATGCATGTGTCATTGAAATTCATTTCATCTTCTGGTAGTGAGGCTTGAGGTTCCACTAGCAGGGATTGTACTGGTGGGCCTGAGAAGTGAATCAAGTTGTTGTTCCAATTGAATCATCGCAAGGTAGCTTGATTTAGATGTTGTAGAACACCTATATCATTCTGAAAGTGCTTTCCACAGGAAGGGCACTGCATACTAATATGCAGTATTGCAAGTATTGCAAGTTATGTTCAGCAATTTTCAGAGTAAACTTCAACAATACTACAATGTCTTCACCAGACCAATTACATCCTTCTCTATCTCCCACTATCTGTCTAAATTTTTGTTTCCCTACAATTGATTTCTCATCTCCAACTCAGATGCCTAGACACAGCAGAAAAATATGTCCAATCTTACCAGATTTTGATTATTCAGACAACTCATCATCCACTTCTGTTAAGACCGTACTCAAGTAGTATCGGATCCGAAGGGCTTCGGCCTCAGCTCGTGCGCTGTGCCCCTTTCCCGAGTCTTGCCCCTTATTTCAGAGAGCTAAAGTATCGCGTATATAGAGTAACGGCCAATCCGGATCGGATCCGGACTAGAAACTAACGGGTGAGGACTGTCCGAAGACAGAGGCGGATATGTAGACTATAGGAATCTATCCTAAGTCTCGGAGTAGACAAGAGTAGCGTACTCAAGTCCGGATGGATAACGGAGGGACTCAGAGTCCAGACGGAATGAGTGCAATCTAAGATGATATTCGAACTGATCTACTACAGCGCATATACAAAGGTTTATATACTACGGATAGCTAACGGAATGATCAATAAGCAAAGGTGCGAGGCTATGTACGAAAGTATAAGCAAAGTCTAAGTGGAGCGTATTGGTAAGTTGGATGGATCACGAATCATGAACCGGGAATGAAGTACAAGTAAAAGCGGATTCGTAAGTGTAGCGGATCAGTAAGCATAGCGGATCAGTAAGCATAGCGGAAGTAAAGGATAACCGGTATACCGGTGTACAGGAATACCGAAAGGAGATGAACGATAGTTAGAGTTATATGAACAGGAAATGAAATAAGAATCAAAGCGGATCTGTGGACCGGACGACGGATATGTTCATCGGATCTGGATCGGATCTGAGATCCAGATCATCGGATCTGTAACCGGATATATGGTATATGACAGTATCCCCCCCTTAGGGCCGATCCCTAGAGGCACAAGAATCAGCGATCCGGAACGGATGGTATGAGTGCGAGACAATGGAGAAGCTGATGGGAGAAGTTGCTGAGTTCGGATTCTGACAGATATACGGATGCCAAAGCGTCGCAGGGTGTTCCTTCCTTTCCCTACTTTTTCACTACCACTAGCTTATCTCAACCATGACTGATAACGGATCCGGCTCTAAGAAGACCGCTAAGCAGACTCTGGCGGATATCCAGGCCGCGCTGGCTGCTGCTGAGGCCGAGGTTCAGAAGGAGGAAGAGGCTGAAAAGCTGAAGCAACAAGCGGAAGAGGCGGAACGGAAGCGCTTGGCAGGGATTAAGAAGATTGAACGGGCTGAGGCCCGAAGGGAAGCGGAGGAGGCTAGGCGCAGGGCTATAGTAGCGGAAATGGTGAGTTATGACTTGTTCTATCGGATCCGTCCCTTATCGGATCCGTAGTCTCGCGCCATCTCAGCGGATAAGGATGGGGCTTGTACCCGCTGCGCTAAGAAGGGTCGGGCCTGTCTGTGGTCCGATGCGGATAGCAATTCCTTGGTAAGTCATCCTTGAATCTTCGGATCCGTGACTCTTAACATTCGGATAGATCAAGGCTTGTAACGCGTGCCGGAAGGACAAGGCTCCTTGTCCCGGACGACCTGGAACCGTTACGGATTCCAAGTCTAAGAAGAGGCAGCGCGCTGCTGAGAACCCATCTCCGAGAGGCAAGGGTAAGAAGCGCCAGCAGAGTCCGACTCCGGATCCGGATATGAAGACGGTAGTAGCGGATGAGGTGGAAGTGGAGTATGATGATCAGGCCTGGGTCGCGGCCGCTAATAGCATTGTAGCGGAACTGGCTCGGACCAACGGATTGCTCCAGCAGAGCATCGGAGCGGCGGAAGGGAGTAGGACTGCTATAGAGCGGATGAATACTAACTTGGAGGCGTTTTTGGAGCAGCAGAGGGAGTTCCAGACCATCCTTCTTGAGGGGATCCGGAATGGAATCCGGATTACAGAGGCGGCTCGTTCTGAGGCCACTGACAAGGACGTTGATGAATCCGGATCCGGATCCGGATCGGGTGGGGACATGGAGATGGATGGCTGAGGATTTTCGGATCTGCCTTCTCTGCTACTAATGTACTTGTATATCCGCTTTGTATATTCATTGTATAGCAATAGGACCGGGTTTGTCTGGATATGCAGTGTGGAAATCCGAGACTAGATCGGACGCGTTTCCGAGTTCCGTGGCTAGTAGCCATGAAGTCTCTTCGTCTGTTCCTTCGTATCCGGACCATCGGACGAGGTATAAGAGTTGGCATTGTCTTCTACGACGGTCCAGCTTAGAGTCTAGGATTTCGGATATCTCATATTCTGGTTCTCCGTCGACTTCGACCGGAGGTGGAGGAGGCTGGATCCGATTGGGAATTGTGTTCGGAACGGATGGTTCTAGCTGTGAGACATGGAAGACGGGGTGGACGGATTTCATGGATTCGGGAAGTCGGATGGTAAAGGAATGGGTACCCGGACGGGATATGACTTCAAACGGACCTAGATTCTTTTCCGAGAGTTTCTTAGACGGACGAGTGGACCGGAAGTACTTAGCCTTGACAAAGACTTGGTCTCCGATATTGATATCCGGAGCAGGTTTCCGTTTAGCGTCCGCAGGTCCTTGATATCTTTCTTGGGCGTGAGCCATTTCTTCTCTAAGGAATTGGTGAAGGTCGTCGAGGTCTATAGCATAGTCGCGAGCGCGGATGGAGGATAGATCGCGTTCCGGATGGACGGATATGTTCGGATGATAACCCTTATTAGCAAAGAAAGGCGATACTCCGGTAGTAGCACTTGGAGCGTTATTGTAGGCAAATTCTGCTAAGGGAAGTAGTTCCGACCAGTTGTCCTGTTGATAATTGCAATATATCCGAAGGTATTGTTCCAGGGTTTGGTTGGCACGCTCGGTTTGTCCATCCCCTTCCGGATGATATCCGGATGTGAAGTGGAGGACCATATCCAATGCTTTTCCTAAGGATCGGAAGAAGTGGGATACAAACTCTGTACCGCGATCCGAGGTGACATGGGACGGAACTCCGTGCTTGGAAAACACATGAAGTAGGAATAGACGAGCGAGATCCGGAGAGGTAATGGTATCGTGAGTCGGAACAAATATTGCTTGTTTGGATAAACGATCTATGATAACGAGGATGGCTGTAAAGCCTGATGAGTCCGGAAGTTGCTCTATGAAATCCATGGATATGGAATTCCAAGGCTTTTCCGGTATGGGTAGTTGCTTTGAGCAATCCGTAGGGTTTATGTCTCGGAACCTTGGCTCGGGCGCAGGTAGTGCAGGACCGGACGTAGTCCTTAACATAGGTGCGTATACCCGGCCATGTATACTCGCGTCGGATGAGGTCTAGGGTTCGGTTTTGACCAAAATGTCCGGATAAGGGGTGATCATGAGTATTACGGAGGACGCGAAGTCGAAGGTTATCGGATTCTGGGACATATATACGGTTGTCGCAACGGAGGAAACCCCTATCGTCCACTGTCCATCTCGGATCTGAAGGTACTGGAAGATGGTTGGTTGCAATAGGGTCATTAGGAAGTGCGGTCAGGATGTCTTTCCGAAGGTCATCAATATCCATTAGAACAGCTGCTCTAAGAACCGGAGTTGCTAAGGTTGAGGCTCGTAGGGACGAAGCTAACTGTTCGGACGTGAATACCGGACGGAAGTTATGAGGGTTAACTCGAGCGTAGTCCTTATCCCCCTCTTTGGGATAGACGTCCCAGCGTCTAGTAAGGGAATCCGGTTTTAACTCCGAGTTTTCCGGGACGGAAGCGGATGACAAGATTGAACTGATGGAGGAATTCCGACCAGCGGGCCTGACGGCGAGAGAGGAGTTTGGTAGTGGCGAAGTACTCAAGGTTTTTGTGGTCCGTGACAACATCTACAGGCTCGGCCGAGCCTTCTAGATAATGTCGCCAGGTCCGGAAAGCTTCATATATAGCTAGAAGTTCCTTATCGTGGGTGTCATAGTTAAGTTCCGGAGCGGTTAGCGTTCGAGAGTAGAACGCTACCGGACGAAGCTCTGAGTCCGGACATACTATGGATAGTATTCCAGCTATAGCGTAGTCAGAGGCATCGGTTTCCACAACTATAGGAACATCCGGCATCCAGTGCGTAAGCACCGGAGCCGTAGTGAAGGCTTTCTTGAGTTCCTCGAAGGATTTCCGACATTCATCGGAAAAGTTCCACGGAGCATCCTTGCGTGTAAGCCGTGTTTAACGGAACCACGATATCCGAGTAGTTGAATATAAACCGTCTATAGAAATTTGCGAATCCGAGGAAGGATTGGATATCCTTGACTTTCCGAGGTTCCGGCCAGTCAGTAATAGCTTGGATCTTATCAGACGACATAGTTTAAGCCGTCCGGAGATAGGAGATATCCGAGATATTCAACGGGAAGTGGAATGGGAATTCGCATTTTTCGGGTTTGGCATAGAGACGATGTTTACGGAGTCGACGGAAGTACTTCTCGGACGTGTTGCTTGTGGGACGCAAGGTCATGGGAATAGATGAGGATGTCGTCCAGATATACGATAACGCATACATCCAGCATATCAGCAAACACGCTATTGACAAAGCGCTGGAATGCTGCTGGAGCGTTAGTGAGACCTTCCGGCATCACCAACCATTCATAGGAGCCATAGCGCGTTCGGAAGGCAGTCTTCCATTCGTCCCCTTCCGCTATCCGACGAGATGATAAGCGGATCGGAGGGTCGATTTTGGTATAAACTTTAGCACGGCTCGGAGAGTCTAAT